CGAGATGGGAGTTCCGAAGGTGTATTACCCTCGGAAGTAACTCTTACCTGTATAAAAAGGTTCTTCTGTCTTCGAAAAGAACGTTCGATTTCAGGATCAAATGGAATGTAACCTGATCTAGAACTCCTGGGCATAAACACAGAACTAAACAGACAAATATGAGAAACTGTCTCAAAGAACTTGCATTCTCTGAGACAAAAGAGAAAAATCTAGACTACAAAAACAATTAGAAATAAAAATAAAACCGTTTCCTCGGCAACGGCGCCAAATTTTGACAGGCTAAAGTCGTATCACCTAATCAAAAGAATTACCTAAGTCCTCTAATTAAAGTAGATAGGGAAGTTGGGTCGAATCCACGGGGAAACAAGTCTTTCTATTCCTAAATAATTAATATAATCTAAACTATTAAGTAATCGAATTGTTGTTATGTGAAAATTAAACTAGGGGAAAACAATTAAAGTAAGGCAAATTAAATAAGGGAGAAATAAATAATCAAAGCCTAGGGTATAGGTTCACCAATAAATAATATTCCAGGGTAAAACACATTAATCAATCATCAATGTAAAAATTGACCAGATCATAAAGGATTTTCGCTACGTATTATAATCACAGAATTAATGTACCGGTATTAAATCGCATCCCTCGAATCTTGACTTAACTCCCTCGAATCTTGACTTAACCATTTATAAATTAATCTACCTATTGAAACTAAGCCTAAACATCAATTCTCATCTCTCGTATCTCGAATTAATATTGCATAAATCATACAATTAAACCAGGCATAATCTAATTGCATAGCATTAAATCAATCAACAGGAAATCAATCAAGCATTGACAATCAACAATAATAAACTACCCCTTCATATTATTTTTGGATCCCCACAACCATAGAATTAAAACTACTCACACATATTTAAATCTAAACTAAGAAAAGCAATTAATAAACAAGACATAATTAATCAAAGCAATTAAATTACTGAAAATAAAAGGGGAAGAAATCGTTACCAAAATAAACGGAAATGATGAATTATATAAATCAAAAGTGTAGGGAGAAAACAAGATTATTAACCAAAGCTTAAAATTAAAATCTAGAAATCAACCAATTAAAAAAAAACCGTACTCGTCACTTGCTAAAAACGTATTTATACTTCAACTTAAAAAGCCTAAATAAAAAAATTAAAAAAAAATAAAAAAAACCAAAGTAAATTGCCGAAATTCCTCTTAGAAACACGCGCCCTGTCGGGCAGAGCTTCGCCCGGCCAGGCCCGCCTTTTTGCTGGTGTCTTCTTCACTCGTGCCCGGTCGGGCCCGAGACAGGGCAAAGCGTGCTTTTCTTCTATATGCCTCGCCCGGCCGGGCGCGCCTCAGGGCGAGGGCTTACCCAGTCGGGCGAGCATCTGGGCAACTAAGAATTCTTCAATTGGGCTATTTTCTTGGCCCAATCTGGATTTCCTCTTTGGGTTCTTAACACTTGGTCCATTGCCTCAGTCTCTTCTCAACTGTCGAGCCCTTAATCACCGGTTTGATTGCTCCAACGCGGTCTTGGGCTACGGAATACGATCATAATAATGCGATCCCATTCCAATGCTCGTAGTGGCTCAAATAAGTCGGGGAAAATGCTTCAAATCTGCAATTTCCTATAAAACAATACCAAAACTACGAAAACACTAGAAAACGCATCTTAGTAATAAAAGTGGCTCCAAAGAGCCAATAATACTCCTAAATATGACCAAGGGACAGGGGTAAATCTCTATATAAAATGAACATATCAATTATGTGATTACATGTTTAGTTGCTTTAATTAGTGGGCGGGTCTTGGGCGGGTTTCTCTTCCACGTAGCATTGGACGCTACGAAACCCAACACAATGTCGGTCATTTCTTATGAATGATTCACGATTGAAAGAAGATCCATCATGCTTTTTCTTTGGCATTGACCACAATGTAAGCGTTAAATTAAATGTTTAGCTAAATACGTAATTAAATGTATATGATCTAATTAAGTAACATGTTTTATGTCCTCATTAATACACAGAGACCTTTAGAGCTGTCTCTCATGTCACAAGATCCTTCCCAGCCATCTCCTTCAACACACGCAGAAGAATTGATTCAGGCATGGTATGATTCACTACAAGAAAAACGGGTTTGGGCGACGAACTTCATTAGTATGGGCAACGAAATATGTTGTCGTTGCACAAAAATGTTAATATGGGCTTCTAATCCAATTTCATTGCCCAAATCTATATTTTGGGCGACGAAATACAATCCCGTAGCCCAATATGACTTTTGTGCCACGAGTATATATATATGGGCTACCAATTTGTTTTTCGTTGCCCAAATTTAATAAAACGACGAATTAATTTAATTCTACAGTCGTCCAAAACTTAAAAATAAGGCGGAAATTTTAATTTTTATTTTGTAATTTCCCACGTTCACAAATTAGTATAGAGTTCTCTCGCGGTTTTTCCCAAACTAATGAACTCTTGATTCTATTCAACAAAAAAAAAGAACTACTCTTAATTAATCAGGTATTCAACTCCCATCTCACCTCTATTTCAATCTTCTCCCTAAAACAAAACCCTCGTACTCTACCTCTAATTGCATAATCTTCTCCTCAAATCAGGTTTTTTCGGTGGCCGCTCCGATCTAGTCTGGTTCTCTCCGACGCGGCACACAAAATCTTACACTACACTCGCATCTAAAGATTATCTATTCAGGTAATTCGCACCTACAAATTCGGTTTTTTTTTTTAACATTTTTGGGTGAAATTTGGTCTTTGAATTGATATAATCTGCTATGTGAGTCGATTGATTTAACATGCAAGGTAGAAATCCCATTTTATTTGTCGAATTATAGGAAATTTTGAGCGTTTTTATAGAAGTCGGTTGATTAATCAATGAATCCTGTTAACAATGGTTTTGGTTCGTTGTTTATTCTCTTTCAATTTTGTTGCGATTATGTGTTTTTGGTTCAGATATGTTTAGTTTCTTGCTAATTTTGTAGTAAATTGTACTGTTGTTTTATTTACAATTTTATTGTGATTTTCATTGAGAATTTCTTGCAATTTTAGTTGCTTGATTATACTTTATATCTAGGCAATACTTAAAATGATCATTACATGTAATTTACATAATCAGATTAATATTTGCATAGACAATATTCATTCTGTTGGACATATCTTGGGATTTTTCTCATACAGTGGGTCTAATTTAAAGTATTAAAAGAAAAGATGGATAACTTGACTACATGCACAATCTTTTGATACTTAAAAATGGAATGAGATTGATGTAATTGAGCTGTCTTTGCCTAAAAATTGAGCTGCTGCCTGTTAAGAATCTTTAAACTATATGTTAGAATATATTGGGATATATTCTGACTTTGTATATTTGTTATATATGTTAGGAGTATAATTAGCTTTAGATGTATCCCTTAATTAGAGCTAATCAGTTTGTATACTCTAGCTAATTCCTAGCTAATCAATTTGTATACTCTGCCTAACTTCACGCTTGTAATCTTGTATATAAGCCAAGGATGCTTAATGAATTGAGGAAGGAAAGATTCCCCATAATTCTTTCACTATACAATCTCATTCCAGTTAAAACTATAACTTTGTGTCAAAAAAAAGTTAAAACTATAACTTAATAACCATATTAATATTTGCATTGATAATTAGGTATCTTACATATAGAGGGTTCAAAAGATATATTTCCCTTTAATTCAAATATCTTTATACTAGGCACTAAACCAAATTTATAATATTCAATTAGAAATGTCTTAAGAAACAATTAAATTGACACGGCATCATTCCATAAGATTTAGTATTAGTTAGTCTAAAGTCTAAACTTTAACAGACCAATATAAATAATGCAAGTAATAAAGTTTCAAGTTTAACTTGAAGTTCCTATTATATAAAAAATTAAAACCTCCAAATTTTTCATCACTTGTGTTGGTATGTTTGTTTTTGTGATGAATCTAATGATGTAAGATTTTCTTGTTCACACGGTTAATAGCTAAACTATCTAATGTGATCATTTTTTTGTCGCTAATGTTTTTTTTTTAATTATTGTTTGTAAGAATGAATATGGATCGAAGTTGGATGAATCATAATGGTGTAAAGGATAGACAAAAAAAGGAGTACATAGCGGGTGTTAATGAATTTCTACGGTTTGCTTTTAGGGGAATAAGTGGCGAAACAATGTTGAAATGTCCTTGTCTTAACTGTAGATTGGTTATGTCACAAACTCGTAAAAATATGCTATGTCACTTGCTAGTATATGGCATTGATCGTAGTTACAACCCATGGTTGAGTCACGGAGAAAGTGTAGAACAAATTGATAAAAATAAAGATCAAGGGTATGCAGCAGAGGTTTCAGATAATGAGAGTGAGGATCGTCCTTTTGATGACATGGCTCCATTTGTTTTCGATGCAACAAGCGCGTGGAATTCTATAAACTCTACATCAATCAATGAAAATGAAAGAACCACATATGTAGGATCAAGTAGTGGCACTAGTGAAACTCCTATGTTGCTCCAAAAATTAGTGGAGGATATGGAGGCTGGCATGTATCCAGGATGTAAAACATTTAAGAGATTGGATTTTATTATGTCATTGATGCACATTAAAGTTAGCAACAAGTGGAGTGATAAGTCTTTTTCAATGTTATTGAATGCATTGCATAGGGCGTTTAATTATGATAACAATTTGCCTTCAAGCTCTTATGACGCAAAAAAATATACTAAAGCGCTAGGGTTAGATTATGTTAAGATTGATGCATGCGTCAACCATTGTGTTTTATTTAGAAAGGAGTTTGCAAATGAAGTTAAATGTCCTAAGTGTTCAGCACCTGGATGGAAGCAGGATATTTCTTAAGATGATGAGAATTCAGATGATGAAGATGAGGGTGTCCATAGAAAAACACGAGTACCTCAATTAGTCTTGTGCCATTTTCCACTTATTCCAAGGCTCCAAAGGATGTTCATGTGCTCCAAGCTAGCAATGCACATGCGGTGGCATAATAAAGGACATGCTGGTGATGATGACGACGGTATTATGAGACACCCAAGAGATTCAAAATCGTGGAAGTCTTTAGATGAGCTATATCCCGAATTTGCTGCAGATGCACGTAATGTACGCTTGGCTTTAGATAGTGATGGGTTCAATCCCGGGGCGAACATGAGTAGTAGATATAGCATATGGCCTGTTATGTTGGTACCTTATAATTTACCTCCTTGGATGTGCATGAAAAGAGACAACATGATGTTGTCATTATTAATTCCCGGCCCTAAATCTCCTGGTAATGACATAGATGTTTTTTTGCAACCTTTGATAGATGAGTTGAAGGAATTATGGGAGAGTGGGGTACAAACCTTTGATGCCCATAGTAAGGAGACATTTAATATGCGAGCAGTGTTAATGTGGACAATTAGTGATTTCCCAGCATATGCCAATTTGTCTGGCTGGAGCACTAAAGGGGCGAAGGCTTGCCCTAATTGCCACAAAGACACAAATTCCGAATGGTTGAAACATGGCCACAAATGGTGTTATATGTGTCATCGTGTTTTTTTAGAACCAGATCATAAGTGGAGACTTAATAAGAGGTTCTTTAGTAAGAAAGTTGAAAGGCGCGCACCACCTAATCCATTATCAGGGAATGATGCTTTGGAGCAGCTACATGGATACCCTAATGTGGAATTTGGTAAAGATAATAAAGGGAAACGAAAAAGAGGGGAAAGATATATTGTTCACCAGTGGAAAAAGATTAGCGTTTTTTTCAATTGCCTTATTAGAGACATCTGTTAGTTCGACATAACTTGGATGTGATGCATGTGGAAAAAAACGTTTGTGAAAATATATTAGGCACATTTCTAGACTTACCTGGAAAGAACAAAGACTCTGTAAATGCTCGGTTGGATTTAGAAGCCATGAAAATGCACGATGATCTTCGACCGAAGAAAGTAAGGGACAAGTATCAAATACCGCGAGCCCCTTTCAACTTGACCTTACATGAAAGGAGGAAAATTGTCACATTTTTATCGAAATTAGCGTTCCCCGATGGTTATTCATCTAACATTTCTCGATGTGCTTCTTTGCAAGATGGAAAAATCATAGGAATGAAAACTTATGATTTTCATGTTTTCATGCAAGATTTGCTTACCCTGACCTTTCAAGGTGTCTTAGATGAAAAAGTTTTAGAACCTTTAAGAGAGCTTAGTTTGTTTTTTAAGCAGCTTTGCGCTAAGACCTTAAAAGTAGCCGACTTGGAACGAATGGAAGCAAATATAGCAATCACATTATGCAAGCTAGAACGTATCTTTGTTCTGGCTTTCTTTGATGTGATGATTCATCTTCCCATACACTTAGCTACAGAAGCAAAATTGGCTGGACCTGTGCATTATCGCTGGATGTATCGATTTGAAAGGTAAGTTTAATTTATTGTATGTCTAAATATCTAAAAATAAAGTGAATTTTATTACACTTATTCTAGTCTTTATTATTAGAGCAATGCGGACATTTAAATCATTTGTACGGAACAAAGTGCATCCTGAAGGATGAATTGCCGAAGGGTATATTCAGAAGGAATTACTAGTATTTTGTGCTAGATATCTCTCTAAGATTGAGACACAATTCAATCGTTTAGATCAAAATGAGGATATGAACTATCCACAACTTCATAGTCTTTCGGTGTTTTATAACACCGGCAAGACATTGGGGAAGCCAAATTTAAAGCAATTGAGTATTGAAGATTGGAGAAAAGCTCAATTGTATGTTTTGCAGAATTGTGAAGAAGCACAACCTTTTTTTGAGTAAGTATATAAAATTATAATTATATTATTATACGATTATACGGACTAAATGTTGCTAAACATTTTTTTTTTTTGTTCGTAGTGAGTATGAGAATGACATAGGCCATCGAGATGTTGAATTCTGCAAGTGGTTTGAGAATAGAGTAAGATAGTGCTTTATTCCTATATATATATATATACACATAAATACATTAAATTCTGCACATATATTCATTTTTTATTTGTATTTATATTGAAAATAATTAGATTATACAACTTTGGGAAGATAAGGATGAACGAGTTACAGAAGAATTATTGTGCTTGGCACGAGGGCCAATGAAGCGTGTTGTAACTTTTGATGGATATGTTATTAATGGGTTTAGATTTCACACTAAAAAGCGTCAAAGACATCGAAAAACCCAAAATAGTGGCGTTGTTGTATTAGGGGATGCAGAGAGTGGAGGGAAGGACTTTTACGGGACTTTAGATGAAGTTATTGTTCTGGAGTATGATGCCTTAGAAAACCGAACAAGTCCTAAGGTGGTATTGTTTAGGTGTAAGTGCAACAAACTCAAGGTAGTCAAGAACATGAAGGATCATCAGATAATCCACTTGAAACTCAACAGGATCCTCATTACATCACCTTATTTGAGAAAACTAAAAAGTAATCAATAGTCCCTTGGTGGTTTTTTTTAGTATTTTTTTATATAAGTTTTATAAATTTTATAAATCATTGAATTGAGTTATTTATTCTTGTGCTTGAATTAATATGCTAGGAATAAAGACAAGGGATTTGAACCTAATGCTGAAAAAGACTATGAGGCGCTTAGAAACCTTCATGAAAAAAGAAGTGAAAGAGCATGGTGAAGATACACTAAGTGTCAAAGAAGCAGGTTTTCAAACCAAAGTCTGGATATGTCAAGGGACTTGGTCCTGGAGCTCGTCCACCTAAGAAAAGAAGAGTTGTAGGAGAAACTAATGAAGTTAGAGTGGAATTATCGGCTGAGATTCAACAATTAAAAGAGGATGCCGCAACACGTGAGGGTGTACTTGTATCTCAGATTGAATCCCTGAAGGAATCTAATGAAGAGCTTAGAACCTCAAATGAAGAGCTTATAGCATCAAATGATGAGCTTAAAGCGACCGTATCTAGAATCAACATAGAAGCTCAGAAACGTGAAAAGAAGCTCAGAGATGATATGATGAAAATGTTTGAGCAACTTAGGTATGACACTTACTCATCTTCTATTTGAGATATATATTTTTAGTTATTATCAAAAAAATATGTTGCTGCGTGTTGTTGCTGTTATGGTTCTTGGTAGTGTCTATTAGCTTTTTATGAAGTTTATGAAGCAAGCATACTGAATAGTTGGATGGAGTATGCAGTCAAATATAATTCACTTCTATAAACATTTAAAATATAATATCTCCAAGATCTGACTCTTTCTTAGAATTGGACCTAGTCCTTGTATACTATGTCTATGGTGTCTATCATCATCCCCATCACTCTCCTCTGTAGAGCCTGACTGTTTCTGTAGCATTGGGTTCTTTCTTACGTCCTTTTTAGCATAGCACGTGTCTTATCCTTAAACCTCGAACTTTTCCTTCTTTTCTTTTGTTGCCTCTTTTCGACCTTTACAAGCCTACTATCATTAGGACATTGAGAAGCACTGCTGGTTGATTCTGCTTTATATTTTATCGTCCTTTGTTTTTCCTTACCACGACTGTGTTCATCTCATTGTCCTGACTATCACCACAACTTTAACTGGAGATAAGTGCATGGAGCTATTATATGAACCTGTGAAAGAGTAGAGTTAATAGATGACTCCTCTGCTCAGCCGACTATATGTATTTTAAGTTGTCGGCTGAGTATGCAGAATCCCCTCTCGCCTTTGTGTTCCTCTATCTGCAACTTTGGTTTTGCATTACTTGTATTTTCAGAGGAAGTTTTAGAAACATCAGATTTGGTAACTTACAAGCTCTACTGGCGGAAGATGAAGTTATTCCCGTGTAATTTGCTAAATAACTCGTTGTACCAAAAATTTCTGATGTGATACAGTTGTTTGAGGATGGGATTCCTGAGAATTCCTAGGCAGGTTGAAAGTCTGTGGACTTTCATTTGCCCTTGTATGACTATTGACTAGGTTCTGTTTCGGAAAAATGAGTAGATATCATATGAGCAAGTTATTATTTGTACGAATACATGCTTTGCTTGGAATGAATAGGTTTCTGGTCGTTGTTTGTGCAAGCTTTCTGGTGTTAGAGTACTGATAAAATACCCTTTCAGTTCAAAGATATTGTTGTGTGATGTAGGGATAAATGGTTTTAAATCTGATTTCTATTATTGAGATCTTTGGGCATATGCATATTAGCTTCTTTACTAATACAGATTTACATCTGTAATCAAGTTATCGACCTCCAGCTATGAAACCACGCACCTAAGACTGAACCTGTTCCATATCTGAGCTGATTCAGTACCAAGCTTAATTCCGAGCCAGTCACAAAATTTATAGCTTCATCTGAATATAGACTGGTTTTAAAAACCTGATATAACTAGTCAATATCTATTGTGCGTTGGTCTGGCTCAGGTCAAAAAGCTTGACCTAGAGCCTGATAACATAACCAAACCTATAACTGATCATGTGGCAACTTAGTAGTATACATTTTGAGTGTCGAATTCTAGATTCAGGAAAAAAGCTTGTGGATTTTTTAGGCAAGCATTGGGTGGAGGCCCGTGTTCATCATCAATGAATTTTAGTGAGGTATGCTTTATCATTTGGAATGAATTTTTCTGAGGTATGTTGAGTCTCAAATTTTGTAGGACAAAGGTATATTATTTTTTTGAAAGGAAATGTAAATTCTTCTTGCATCCCCTTTGATATATCCTCATTCGCAAGGTGAAAATAACTAGTATATATTTTTGGATGCAGCAATTTTAATACTATTGTGTAATAAAGTTTAGATTTGTGAAAATGATTGCATGATTTATATACTAAAATATCGGATGCTTTCAATAATTATTTTGATGTTACTAACTTATGTTTCACTTACATAGGAATAACATGGGCTAGCAATGAATTCGAAAGATGGATGATTGCAACTATTGAAGGTGGTATATATGAGCAGCGTTGAGAAGGGGTCGATGTAATTAAGTTTGTAATTAGTGTTATTTTATTTAATTTTTAAAGGATCATGTACCTTGTTGACAAAGTGGGATTATCTTATAATTTACACATTTTCTTAATATGTTTTTATAAATTAAACTATTTCATATAATAATTATTCAAAATGTTTGGTATTTGAATTCATTTTCAGATTTATTTGTTTTTTAATAGGTTGTACTACCCATAGTAAGAAAATAATAAAAACACTCGACCCTATTAAAAAGCATATGATCGATACCAACAAATATGGACAGCGAGTAACTTTGTTGCACAAAGTACTATGGGCAACGACATAACGCACATTGGGCCATTGGGGAAAAGATGGGCGTCGATTAATTTCGTTGCCCAAAATATTATGGGCAACGAAAATAATTTGTCGCCCAATGTATCAAATATAGGGCAATGAACTTGGTCGTCGCCCAAAATATTATGGGCGACGAAATGAACAGATCATAGGCAACTAACTTGTTCGTTGCACAAAGTAACCTTTGTGCAACGAAATAAAAATTCGTCGCCCAATATGTAATGGGCTTCGACCTTAGGGCTTCGGACCCATGTCTAGACCCATTTCGTTGCCCAAGGTTTTGGGCGACGAAAATAAGCTTTACAAATGGTATAGGTGGAGGAAATGTCAAACTTCCTGAAGAGAATAAATCATAAAAAAGCTGATGAAATTCTAGTTTATGAGTTTGATGAAGTTAAGTTCAAGTGGAAAACACCAAAATATACTCTTGATTGTGGTGTTTTTACAATGATGCATATGCTGTGTTTTACCAGAGACCCTTTTGATTCTGACCTTGATTTAGCAAATAGGAGAAAGATGTATCGTACAGAAATCTGTGTTGCTCTTACTTTGGCAGAGATAAACACTAAAAGAAAAAGTCTTGTGGAAAAAGTTTCAAGGTTCAGAGTTGTTAGAAAACTTGAGCATGAGAAAGAGGTGAAAGATATGATATATGTTTCTGATTTCTTGAAAACACACAAGGAGAAAATGAAAAACATGAGCTTGAAATGTAACCAAGTGATTAACTACTTAGCAGTCAATGATGATGAAAACTTTCCAAACAAGAGGTATGTGTTATACTTGCAAATAAACTAATACTCCTGTTGCATTATATATTGAATTGTTTGACATAAATTTAATTTAAAATTTAATTTAACATTACAGCGAAGTAGTAGGTTGGTTTGGAGAATCAATTGAAATAATAAGGGGAGATTGTAACACTTTGCTCAATGAATGGAAAGCTTCAACTAATTTGATCAGTGCTTGGTCAAACCACCTCAATAACAATGAAAGGCAAAAAGACAGGTCTGAAAATGACATGGTCAGATTCTTCTTTGGACTTGACTTCATGGTAAGTTTTTTAACGTTTACTTTTATAATATAAAACTATGCATTGTATAAATATGTGAAATAAACTTGGGAATTTTTTTGCAAGATGCTTTAACTATGTGTTTGCACATGGGAAAAAGGGAGTAACAAGTTTGCAAAAACTATGGATTGATTGGACAAAATCATAATCATTGGACTTGGATGCAGCTGAATGTGTAAGATATAGAATAAATATTTAAAGTAGGAAAATATATGTTTAAAGTAATAAAAAACAACTTTAAAGTAAATTTGTGTAAATATTTTTTATGTGCAGGTATTTATACCTCTGAAACTATTGATGTATAAACTTCAAAGATAAAACTATTGATCATTTGGACAACACTTTATATAAGAGCATTGATGATTATGAGCCTGTACAGAGTTTTATCTTAGAAACGGTAAAGCATAAATAGATTAAGAAAATGACATTAAATTCATTTTTCAATGTATCATATTACATTAATATTCATTCCACAGCAGACCGTACAAATTGCAGAAGCTGTTTAAAAAAAGAAAGCATCCAAAGGCAAATGATATGTTGTCCTACAAGCTGAGAATAATTGAACTTCCATTCCAAAAAGAAAGACAAGAAAATTACTCAGGAATAAGCTATCTAATGCTGTACATGAAGGTGTATGATGGTGTTAATGGGATAGGATTGGGAACCATAAAAGAGGTAAGTTACCATACTTATTTCTAAAGTCCTTGAATTCTTTAAGTTATATGGATTACTTATAGCATAAATTATTTAAACTAAAGTTAATCTTTTGTTTTTTTACAGGAATTTCAAAGATTGACACAACATCATATAAAAACAGTACTTGACCTACTTCTCAATGAAAACAATCAGATGCAAGAGAAACTGCTGACAAATGTTAAGGATTGGAAAGAGAAGAAAGCACAAAAAACATGTGAAGAATTGTAAATGTTTTTAATAGATTTGAATATGTCATAGACATTAGAGTACTTTAAGTTGAATATTATTAATCCAAAACATTAGTTTTAAGGTTTAAGTAGTATGTTTGTATGAAGAATACATATTATATCTCTGAGTTGAAGTAGTAGAATTATTTTCTGTGAAAAATGGTGCTAGATATAAAAGTAGATGAAATCAATCAAAAGGTAAATGAAAATAAGGTTAAAGTAACAGGAACTCAGTTAAAAGTAAAAGAAAAAAGTTTAGAAAATGCATTCTTTCTGAAATATGGTGTTCGATTTTAAAGTAAAGAAAAATATTGATAAAGTAAAAGAAATTAATCCAAAAGTAAATAAAAAATAGTCAAAAATATGATGTTCGATTTAAAAGTAAAGGGAATTAGTGTTAAAGTAAAAGACATGAAGTTAAAAGTAAAAGAAAAAAGTTCAAAAAATATATAAGGTGGTTGTGGAAGTGGAGGTGGTTGTGCGGTGGTAGAAGGTGGTGTAGGTGGTTGTGCAATGGAGATAAGGGAGAGAGAAAAGAATATTTTGTTTATAAAACAGCCTCGTATATTAACAAGTTTTGTTAACATGGGACCATAGGGGAGTATTAAAATATAATGTTATAAATGTGGTCCTGTGCTAATTTTAGAAATGTGTCAAGTATTTTAGGACGGATGGAAATGGAAATTGTGTCAAGTATATTGGGACGAAAGGAGTAATATAGGACATTATCTTCAATTTTGTAAATAAGGACATTACATGATAATATAATTCATATGATATATTATTCATTGTGAAAGGCAGGAAAAAACAATATCATAAAGTAAATGAAATATTTCATAAAATTAAAGTATAATAGGTAAAAGTAAATAAACTGGACTTTACTTTTGCAGTACAATTACTTAGAGTAAATGTAAAAATATTATATCTCTTAGTTGAAGTAGTAGAATTATTCTGTGTGAAAAATGGTGCTAGATATAAAAGTAGAAGAAATCAATCAAAAGATAAATGAAAATAATGTTAAAGTAACAGGAACGCAGTTAAAAGTAAAAGAAAATAGTTTAGAAAATGAAGTCTTTTTGAAATATGGTGTTCAATTTTAAAGTAAAGAAACATACTATTAAAGTTAAATAAATTAATCCAAAAGTAAATGAAATTATTATTAAAGTAAAAGGAACAAATTTAAGAGAAAAAAAGTTCAAAAATAGTCAAAAATATGATGTTCGATTTAAAAGTAAAGGGAATTAGTGTTAAAGTAAAAGACATGAAGTTAAAAGTAAAAAGCTCAAAAATAAAGTCTTTATGAGGTGGTTGTGGAGGTGGAGGTGGAGGTGGTTGTGAGGTGGTTGTGGAAGTGGTAGTTCAATGCTTGTTATAGTAAATGAAATATTTCATAAAGTTAAAGTATAATAAGTAAAAGTAAATAAATTGAATTTTATTTTTGCAATACAATTACTTAGAGTAAATGTAAAAATATTACATAAAAAAAAAAAAAAAAAAAAAAAAAACATTAACATTTCTTCAGTATATCTTGATCATCCAAAACATCTTTAAATTTCCAAGTATTATAATAACTGCACAAAAATAAACATCACAAAATCAATGACAGATTAAAGTAAATAAATTACAATGTAAAGTAAATGAATTTCAACTTAAATTAAATGAGAAAAGTACAAAGGTGAAATACCTAAAAAAAAAGTACAAGTATAATAACACCAGCACAAAAATAAAAAGTAAATCAAGTTAAATTTTAAAGTATATAAATAACAGATTAAAGTAAATGGGACACATGTAAAAGTAAAATACCTGAAGAACTACTTGTTTGGACAGTATACACCAGATTGCCCACAAGCTCTACAGGTTCTGCCCTTTTTGGATTTTTCTTCAGAAGCTATTTCTTTTGCACTCTTCAACCACTTTGAACTTCTGGCAGAACCTTTATTAAGATACTGATTTGGAGGCAAGATGTTTACATCTACTTCATTTGACCCAACCAAAACCTGAATATCAGCATCTTTCACCTCTTTTGAACTAGTTGCATTTTCAGAATTATTCTTTGTCAGCATCTGCTCCTCAAATGAAAATAATGTCCTAATAAGCTCAGATAAATCATCCTCAGATTGCTCAGATAAACTCACACAACTGAAAATCTTGGACCACACATCACTCACCAATTGCTTCTTCTTATCATACCTAGAAGCATCATCCAGAACAACATTTATGCCTGAAGCTTTCTTCAGAATGTCTTTTCTCAAACGATTCATAATATAAAGATCAGGAATTTCACGTATAGACTTGCCTTTCATAATAAACAGAATGTGTCTACAAAAGATGCCTTGACTCTCAAACATTTTACAAGTACAACTGCATTCATATGTGGCCAAGTCAAAATTTACATCAAAGTTTTTCCTTTTCTCATGATCAACAATTACAGGAAACTCCACACCATCTCCATATAGAGAACTACAACTTTCAACACCACATGAGAAACAGGCTGCCTCGCATTCTTCTTGAAAATCATAAAATATGGCACGACTGTAAACAACAACAGCGTGCTTTTCCAAGTGTAAATGAGTAACCAATTGAGGCTCATATTTATTAAGCCTGTTCAACTCATCCTGTTCATGCCTTTGAGCATCAAGAGCAGTTTCATAACGGTTTCATAACGGACAAAGAATTCAACACAGGTCACATGGGGGTTTATAAAATTACAAAAGAAACTGTTTTCACCTTCAGATCTAGAAGTAGATTGCAGTAACCCACCCATAAACAAGTCCCTGAAACATGCAAGGATCCAAAGATGCCTAATCTTGAACATGTATGCAAACCACTCATGATCTACAAGGTCAAATTCCTCCATAACACTGTTCCAGCCATCAACAAATACATGGGGATCAATTTCTCTATCCCTAACTACTGCACTTAGCTTTTTCAAGAACTTAGTTTCGTTACAAAACTGAGTTCCAACCTTTTTAGGTACCTTCCTCATTATGTGCCACATACATAACCTGTGTTTAGTCTTGGTAAAAACCTTTTGTATGGAAATACCCACTGCAGGATCTTGATCAGTGATTATGCAAGAGGGTTCTCTTCCCATACACTTCAAAAAATTTTGAAATAGCCACACAAAAGATTCTACATCTTCTTTAGATAATAAAGCAGCACAAAATGTAACACATCTCTTATGATTATCAACTCCAATAAAAGGGCAGAAAACCAATGAGTATTTATTTGCATCACAGGTAGAATCAAAAGATAAAGAGTCCGCCAAACAATTGATAATCTCTTCTTCCAATAGCATCAGCCCAAAAAACACCTGTCAAGTGCCTGCTTTCATCAACACAGTAATCAAAATAATAACCCCCTTTACCGCTTTTCACTTTTTGTTCAAGGTTTTGAACAAACATAGCACCATCAGCATTAGAGATATAAACTTTCAAGTCCCTAAAAAAATTGTTGAAGTCATTTTTACTGCCCCTGACATTTTTAAACCACCACAAAGTTCTTTCATGATTCTATAAGACATAACAACCCCTATATTTAATTTTGAGTTGTCAAAAACAAACTTCTTATGAGCAAAATTTAAACCAACTTCATATTTAGTAACCTGCCTAGTAATAGGTGTAGAAAAAGGGTGAGAATGAGACTCATAAAAACAGTAAACCATATACTGCCCACCATTACAAAACCTAAATTTAATATTAGCAGGACATCCAACTCTCTTCACATTCTTTTTCCTTTAACATGCACCTTTAACTTGTTTACCAGCTTTTTTGTTATTTGTCACATACCCTTCTTTGCTACATAATAAATATTTAATTACAATAACTCCTTTACCATTACTAGAACCAACCTTATTCTTATATACTTTAGTAGTACTAGAACGGACTTTAAATCCACACTCATTAGCATATTTGTGATAAAAGGCAATACCATCTCCAAGACTATCAAATTTCATTCCAAGAATAGGTTTGTTTTCCAAAGAACAACCTGGGATATACTCTTTATCACCACTAGAATTATAATATATCTTAGGAAGCACAGGCTGAGTGGGTGTTTTGAAAATTCTTAGATTCATATCTTCATCAGTGACAGCAGCAGAACAATACTCTACACTTTCAGTCATCTTCCTGAAAAGTAAATGAATCAAAGAAAAAAGTAAATAAACAATAAAAAAAAAAAGTAAACCATTTAAAAAAAGTATACTAATAAAAACTATTAGACGTATACTAAAAAGTAAATGACTCAAAGCAAAAAGTAAATAAAAAAGCTCAAAAAGTTAACAAACTAAAAAAATGAAGTTATAAGGATTAAGCAAAATTAATAATGAAAAGTAAATGACTCAATGCAAAAAAGTAAAATTAAAATCACAACAAGTTCTACTACTTGATTAAGACCAGCCAGCCATATAACAACTCTATACATAACCACTACCATGAATTGGGTAAGTAAGTGTAAAAGCCCTAATTCGGAAATAAAAAAAAAACCCTAAATCGTAAAAATAAAGCCCTAAATCAAACACTAAATCGTAGAAAATAAATCAGAGAACAATTAATAAGTAAAAATAAACTAATTGATAAAAATTACAATAAAAAACTCTAAATCGCGAAAATCGTAATGAAATAAACAATAAAATCAAAATAAACAACGAAAATAAAAATAAAATCAGAAACACAAGAAAATTACCCCAATGAATGACAAAAATCGAAGAATACGAAGTACTTGAAGATCAAAATCAAAGAATTTGACAAATCAATGAGCGCAAGCGAAGAATTCAAATCGTGAAAAATCGCCCCTTTGAGAGAATTCGAAGGTAGAGAGAGAAAATGCTGAAGAAAAAAGAGAGAGAAAATGAAGCGGCGCCTGGAAAAACAAGGGAGGTCATTCAACTACCGAAATTACAATGAAATTGAAAAAGGCGAGTGAAGCATGAGCCGTTGGGTTGAGAGCGATCAACGGTCACGATAAGTTCCTAGTTCCTATTATAAGACTTGGTTCTCACATGATCCCTATATATATATATATATATATATATATATATATAGGGAATTGCTAGAATGAGAAATGAGAAGCCACTAAAATCTTGATACATCATCTTGGTTTAGAATTCAAATTCCCTCATCTTTTTATTTTTAACTTTCTCATATTTTGACAATGACATGTGTTAGGATATTAGTGGCTTTCTCATTTTCTCATTTCTCATTCTAGCAATTTTCTCTTTATATATATATATATATATATATATATATATATATATATATATATATATATATATATATATATATATATATATATATATATATATATATATATATATATATAGGGGAGGGATCCGATGAGAAAAGGTCCATATGTGAGAAATTATACTTATATGAGAACTGATTAGGGGATTTTTCCCCACCAATCACCATCTGACAAGTGGACCAATCAGGTTCCGCCATGTGTCCGTCACATGGGCCAATAGGAGCCTGCCACGTGTCAAGCAATGATCCGTCCACTATGGACCAATTACGACACGACACGTGTCCTTCCCATGACACCTGGGATAACCGGTCACCTAGGCCCAACTTCCGTGGGAAGCCCAATCAGCCCAAGGTTAACCTAAACCTAGATTGGCACGTTTCCCGAGGTTATAAATACCTCCCTTAATCCTCATTAAGGGAGATTACGCAGATTACACACATTAAACTCTCTCACCTAGAGAGACCCAATCACTTTAATTTCCGCATTAATTACTCCTTAATCAAGTACTAACTTGACCGTCGGAGGCGGATCTCCAATCATCCGGAGCATCCGTTTGTTTTGCAGGTACAGGCGTCCGGTTCCAGTCTCGGAATTGTAACTCTCCCGCAGGACATCAGAAAACCCCGAAACATCTTGGCGCCGTCTGTGGGGAGAGTACTTCTGAGATGGCATCCACGTTTGTACCGGCTCCTGAAGAGAGACGTCCCCTAGACGACCCTCTAGTTCAGCCGGACCACGATACTGAGAATGAATTTGAAGTTGAAGCTCACACAGCTTTAGACGGGACCCTAAGGGCCCGACGTACCCGTCATACCGAAAGGAGGGAACGGGAACATCTTCAAACTAGAAGCGAGCCAGCAGGCGCACCGCCTGTTCGGCAGCAGCCGACTGATGGGTCTGCTCCCATCACAAGGAACGAACTCATGACCTTCATGAGGGACTTCAAGGGAGAAATTCAAGAGTTGATCAACAAGAAGCCGCCTGCTCTGGAAAAGGAGCAGTCGGCTAAGAAACCCTCCACTTCACGGAAGAGGAAGCCAGTTCAAGGGCGAGAGGCGACCCCTCATCCTAAATCTAGGAAGTGGGAGCCACCTGCCCTTGATTTCACAAAATACCGTTTTCCTACTCCAGGAAATAGGAAACCTGTTCGTCATATTCAGGCGGACGGGTCGAGGAAAACATACACAGACGCTCGGCTACTGCTAGAGCAGAAGAAGAGTGACCGATTGTCAGAGTCAGCCTCTACTTCAAACTTCCAAGACAGTCTGCGAAATACCTCGATGAGGCATACTCAGTCGTATCATGAGAGTCAGTCAGGCGGCACCTCCCGTCAGTCCGGCTTTCATAGCGACCAGGCGGTACCAAACTTACCGTTTGTACCGCAACAACAGTATTTTTTACAGCCACCTCCGTTTGGTGGACATGCAGCAAAAAATGTCCAACCTATGGACTGGCAGCTACGGTTGCTTAGACTTGGTGAACAGCCGTCGGCCTTCTCCAAGGAAATTACTGAAGCCGCTCAGCCGGTCAAAGTGAAAAATGTATTAGTAGGCGCCTATGACGGCACTACTAACCTAGAAGACCATCTGATGGCATTCACCAACCTGATGTACCTTCAAGGGTTAGATGATCCCACTTGGTGCAAGTGTTTCCCAGCGACTCTCAAAGGAATCGCACAATAATGGTTCGGCAACCTGCCGACTGGTTGTGTAGATAACTTCAAGACGCTTGCTTACTTATTCACCTCCAACTTCGCCATGAACATCCCTGCTAAGAAGACGACCCTTGATTTAGGAACAATTCAGCAGGGCGAGAAGGAGGGGCTTCGTTCTTACATCAGGCGGTTTAACCTGATGAGAATACAGATTCAAGGGTTACCGGATGAAGTAGCCTATACTGACTTTTTCAGAGGTCTCAAAGACGGGTCGACCTTCAAATTTGATTTGGTCCGAAAGAGGGTGACGACTCTTCAAGAGGCCTTGATTGAAGCGGAAGCTTATATACAGGCGACTGATCTTTGTAGTACGGTAAAACAGTCAGACGGGAGAAGGTCCAACAAAAGAGAAGGACGACATAAACAGTCGACAAACAAAGACGAGAAGAGAAAAGAGGTCTGGGCGGCTGATTCCTCTAAACAGCCGGCCCAGAAAAAGAAAAAAGAATTCAAACCATACTCCCCAAAGTATGCGTTTAACAAGGATAGCCAATTTATCCTAAAGGAAATCAAGGGACGGATCTCAATTGAGAAGCCGGTCCCCATGAAGGGTTCTGCAAACAACCGGAACCAAGAAAAATTCTGTGATTATCATGAAGATGTTGGTCATCACACCAATGAATGCATCAGTCTCATGCGGTATCTGGACCGCCTGGCTGAGCAAGGTGATCTTGACACTTATGTCAAAAAATCTACGGGGAACACTTCCTCAAAAAAGCAGTCGGCCAAAAAGAATCAACAGGCCGACAGTTCCGATACAGATGATGCAGTCGTCTACACCATTGCAGGCGGCTTCTCAGGAGGCGGCCCCACTATTAGGGGCAACGAAGACAATATCAGACGGTTAGATGTAAATTCCGTTCGCCAAGAACGGCCCTCCAAATATTCATTTCCTGAGATGGTCATCACTGAAGAAGATCTAGGAGGGGTAAGAGGGCCGCATGACGACCCTATCGTTATTGAATGTAAAGTGGCCAACCAGAGAGTTGGCCGAATCCTCATAGATACCGGAAACTCCTCAGATCTCATCA